ATATCCCTTTTCACCTCCTAAGGGAAGGGTATATATAAAGTTTGGGAAAGACGTGGTAACTGTTGAATCCGAACCATGTGCCCCTACCTTCTTCTACACATCACATCCTTCTTACACATGTATTCATTACATTGACAAATAGTCAATTGCCCTATATTTATAGGCTGATATTTCTAACATAAGATAAAGTAGACATCTAATCAGTTTTTCACAAAGATATTCATCAGGTTGGCAGATGTGGTAGCCTCCTCATCTCTTAGAACTTCAGCCTTGTCTTTTAGAGTCTCGGCAAGTCGCAAATTTGAGGACTTCTGCATAAACCCTTCGTCAGGGCTTCGACAGGTATCTGGTTGAGTGGCAGATTGGCCCAAACAAGGACTTTGACTTCTGTAGCCTTTATAACCTTGTTCCTTCGTCTTTTCATATGTTTGGGCTAACTCTTCCAATAATGTACTTCCACGTGCTGCTTCTGATGGCTAACTGAATACGGGGAGTAACAACATACATACATTTAAACTATATGTATAGTAGCAATTAATCGATATTTGAATTCAATATGCAGAATATAGAACATAAGTTTTTACATAACTGGGCCTCAAATCAAATCACATCATTTGAAATATGAAAAAGCAATTACTTTGTTTTATGTTCAACATTAATTGATTTTATTAGCAGTTTCTCAGAATCTGCAGTACTGTAAGTCTGTAAGAATCCTATGTTTCTTTTGAAAACAAGACTATCGCATTGTCACGTGTGAACACGAGTGCGCATTGTTGCTAAAGATTCTAATGTTCAAGTCAAAGAAATAGACGAAAGAATGAACACAGAAAATTTATTAAAACAGCAGACAATCACGACAGTGTCACATATCTCAAAGGCAATACTATTTTGCACCGACTTTTAATAGCTCTTTTGCACTGGGGTGAGTGGGGACAGTTTGGAGGTTAGCAGACTTCAACGCTGACATGTGATTTATAATATTATACAAAGCAGACAAACCCTCAAGAAGAGGGCTTTTGACTTGGCCTCCCCCATTTGCATTATTGAGTAATTTAATTATTCAAACAACTAATTCAGTATGCTAAAATACTCCATTAGAACATAAATTAAAGATGGCAGGTTAAAATCCCGAAGGCCATCAACATCCCAACATTTTAATATGAGTAATGCATGTTTATTGAATCGGCAAATGAACTAGTAGTGCATGTTTAGTACATTGAATTAGAGAACTTGGACTGAACGTGTCCAATTCAACGTACCAGTATTGCATTCGACGTCCTGTAACTTAATGAAACTCGTTTAAGCATTTGTTTAAAGCCAACAAAAAAGAACAAACCTTTTCGGCAACCGTGTTCTGCTGACAAGCATAGGGAATAATTGAAACCTAGTAACATAATTTCATTCCAAACGAGAGAGTTTCAGAATATGTTGGAACTGTACTCAACAATGATGAAAAAATCTGAGAAATTTTTATTAATTCAATGCTGAGGAAAGAAACATCAATATCAATGATTTCATGTTCATTCTTCTATCACTAACCACCGCTAGAAATTCATTCCCTTCAATGGGCCACCAATGTTTTGCATATATCATCACACATATACATGTACAGATCTCATCTTAAAAGCCATCCAACAAGAAAGTGATTTCTCTCTATCCTCCCGCTAAATTTAGCCAAGTGCCCACTCGAATAATCTTTTGTTAAATGATATACTAGAAAGAGGTCGAACAACTCGAGAAGGGTGGGAAATAAGGTCTGAAAATATTGAATAATGGAAGATGGAACCGTACAGCAATGATAAACAAAAGAATAAGCGGAAATAGCAAAAGGGGACATGCTATGTCTTTGCATTTCACAGGCATTTGGACAAATATGATTGCGGGATTATTGTGTAGTTTCAGGTTATGCCACAAGTAACTAATAATCCTCAAACGGTGGGACTAAAGGTTGTTTCTGAAAAGCTGGGATTTCAGGGCTGAGCATGACATGGAGAAGGATAGTATGATCAAGATCTAAATGCTATAATGTCGTACCGAAGACTCCAACACCTCTGGACTTGGACAGACCATTTCCTTCACTCGGCTGCCCTTTCTGTATATCTTGAACGTTGGCACAATGTTAACATTCTCGACATGTGCAATGCCAGGACTCTCTTCTATATCCACCTACAATTGAAGACAAATAGACATGTAAGATTATTTGTCTAAGCACATCCCGTCAGTCAGCCCGCTTACTTCCAAAAACTTAATTTTTTAGTGGTAAGTCTTCACTTATTTTCAGAAAAGTAGTTTTACTTTTTTAGGGTTAGCCAAATATGATCTAAGAAAAGTATGGGCAATGAAAATTCACACTATTTAAAAAAGAAATAAAGAACTATAGAAAGTGAATGGTAATGAAAACATAATGAATTACATCAATTACCTTAAGAAAATTTATGGACGGATATCGGGTGCATAATGTGTCCAAGAATGGAGAGATCCGCTTGCATTGTAGGTTGGACGCCGCTTTAAAATGGACAACAGATGCACCTGCATTTTTCAATTATGAATAACTGGATACACTAAGAATGAGCAAAAGGCACAAAAATGAACATGCTTACTAGGAGAAGAGATTGCAGCTCGAAACTGCTCAAGCCCTGAAACTGACTCCACTTCACCACCAAATTTCAAATTATAAACCTCTTCTCCACGTGATTTCTTCAGTGCAACTTGCGCATGAAATAAAGATTCGGCAACCTCATTGTCATTAGGGAGTTCCTTTCTCAAAAGCTCATAATCTCTTACAGCTTCATCCCACCGTTCAAGCTGTAATCGACAACGTGCAATTGAATTTGAAATATAATCAAACTTGCACATTTTATAGAATTCTTGGTGGAAAATTTTGAAATATTTACTACTTTTAGGCATCTCACCTTGAAGTTTGAGGCAGCCCTTCGAAGAAGAGCTTTAATGTAATTAGGCTGAATACAGAGAGCCTGGTTGCAGTCATCCACTGACAGTTGCCACTGTCCAAGCTTAAACCAACAGGCCGCTCTATTGCAGTAAAGAATGGAATTAAAAGGATCAAGCCTAAGCCCTTCCCCGTAAGCCGAACAGGCTTCGGTAAACCTTTCTGACTTGAAGAGATCGTTCCCACGAGCACGTGCTCGGCCCACCAACCTCACATTATTGAGCATAACCAAGATCTCAACATTACGCGGGTCAAGCTTTCCTGCTTTCTCGATAGCTGTAAGTGCATTTTCAAACCTGCAGGTATTCATCATACATCTCATACTTTGAATCTTTATTTCCTTGTCTGATGGGAGTGCAAAATTTCTGAACTAACCTTCCGCTTGCCAACTCAATTTGGGCTCTGACAAAGAATATATATGCTTCGAAAAGCATCCCGAAAATCTTCCCGGTAGATGGTTCAAATTTAGGAATGTTAGACATTGCTAAAATAGCATCATCTAGTCGATGGAGCTTCAAGAGAGCTTCTGCTCTACATGCACAAAGCTATCATTTCAAATTCAACCAGTTCAGTAGCAGCACTTTCCTTTCCCATTCTAATCATTAGGAGCACTTTGGCTAAGCTTCATAAATGTAAAGTTACTTATAACAAACTTTTGTTTCCAAATACTTTAGGATATGATACTTTTTTTTCCTTATTTCCTTATTTTCAAGTAAAAATATTATCTATTTTTAAATTTACACTTGCCTTAGTATCTAAACAAGTAACTTATAATTTTCAAAACTCATTTACTCATAAAACTTTTTAAAGCTTAGCCAAAAAGAGCTCTAGGTCAACAACTGAGTAGATACTTAGCAGCAAGTAGTAACCTGTGGTGAGGCATCGGCACCAGAAGCAATGGCAGCATCAACCTCCCTCAATGTATTTCTCCAATCACCAACTCTCCGTGCATCAGAGCACTTGTTCAGATGATTCTCCACTGTTTGCAACTTCTGCAACTCAACTGCATCAGGCTGACATCCTGGGTAACAAAGGTGCTTCCTGGCATTCTCAACCTGTCCTAAACTGCAATCCTTAAGACGAATTAGATTGCTTAATGCGACGTAGACAATAAAAAAGGGGAACCACAGTAATCCAAACCATAAAAGGTAAAAACCATCTATACCGAGTGGATATGGAAATCATTTCACAAACACGAGATTTTCTTAACAATTTTATTAAGAACTTGATTGATCACTACCTAGAACCATTACGTGAACTCGAATAATAATGCACCACATTCCATGTTATTAAGAACTACAACGTGCCTGCCAATCCGACTAATTCGAACCTAAAAGGTGGCCCATTACCACAGAAAATTTGTATGGTCCTCGAGCCTACACAGTTGGAGCCACAATAAGAGATGAAGAAAACATACACTAGTCGAATAAAAAGAAAAATGGCGACCCTATTACAATGTGATCCAAAGAAAACACATAACAGGATTACTCATAAAAAAAAAATAGTTAAAACCAAAAAGCAAAAAATAAAAAGAACCAGATATAGCACATTCAACCCTATACAATAAACCAATCAAAATTCACAAGATAATAAAATATCGAAAGAATACTCGTATTACAAATCAACAAATCCTTTTTGCCGATGTAGATCACAATCACCACATTCTAAAACACAACTAAGAACAACATTAATCTCACACCTATATGGAAAACCATAGCAGTTAACAAGCAAAGATATGAATTTTCTTCAGGGGCTCACCTAAGAAGTAAAGATCCTAACCGATGATGCGCCCTCGTGTACCCTGGATCCAACCTAATCGCCTCTTCACATTCCCGAACAGCCTCGGCCAATTCCCTCAGCCCCATCAAAGCAGCTGCTCGATTAAAATGGTACGGAGCATTGCCTGGGGATATCGCAATTGCCTTACTGTAAAAGCTTAAAGCCTCTGCAAAATTGCCCTTCCTGTAATTCTCGTTCCCCATTCTCTTCAACTCCTCTGGATCATTATTATTGCACGTTCCTGTTCTCTTCACTGACTCTCCACCAACCATTAGTCCTCTTGAGTAATTTATGGGTCTGCTATCCGTCATCACACAGGGCTTTGACGTAGGACCGCCGCGCAGTATGCTGCCATGGCCGTAATTACCCGTCCCGGACCCCAAAACGTCGGTCTTAGTTGACCGACTAGACATACCGGTCTTCAAGATCCTGCCGGAAGGGCAAATGTTCCCTGTGGGAAGCACATTGACCGCCGGAGAGTTTACAGAGCCACCGGCGTAAATTAGCTGGTGACTACCACCCGAATCGGTGCGAGTATGACCCGGTTTGAAGTTACGTGTCGCTGATGGGGAACTCTCCACGGAACAGCTCGAAAGCTCGCCGGAATGACTGTTATTGTTGGAATCAGATTTTCTCGGAGGATTCAAGTGAACCCCTGCAGTGCTGCAGCCGGACACCGATCCGGAGGAACTGGAACTACTGCTGGTGGCTGTAGTGGCGGTGTTTGTAGTGAGTCCACCAGTCCGAGTCCGCAGCGGTGAAACCGGCGATCCCAGATCGAGTTCCCGAAAGTCCGGCTTATTAACGTTGACACCGTTATCTTCTTCACCGATACTTAGCGTATTCCTTAACCGATCCGACAGCGTTTGTGACCCTAACTCCGACATAGGTTTTCCCCGATGCGACATTTTCACACTCTCCCCTACTCACTCTCTTCCTCTATACAATCTTCAGTATGTATATATACGGAAAAAATTTGTTTTTTCACTTTTCACTCTCTGGGTTGGGTTCTCTTTCAGTTTTCCTCAGTATATCTCACCAATGTGAAGCAAAAATGGAGAGAGACCGATTGAAACTTCGAATAAGACATTAAAAGGGATAGAAATGGAAAAAGAAAAAAAAAAAAAAAGAATTGATGGGGATCCCGTGATTTAAAAGGTTGAAGGAAAGAATGAATGTGAATGGTAGAGTGAGAAACGGATGTTTCTTTAGAGAGAGAGAAAGTAAGGTTTATACAGAGAATAAGGTATGGAAGGTAGAGAGAGTCTGTGGAGGAAGAGTACAATGGAAAAGAAAAGAGCTATCTTTGCCTTCACTTGCTGGCTTCACGAGACAGCTCTCTCTCTCTCCCCATTTACTCCCTCTCTTTTTTTAATTATTTTCTCTCTCTACTTATTTTCGATTTCTTATTTTCTGTCTCTAATTTTTCTCTTAATGGGTATTTCTTGTTCGGTTGAAGAAAATTGGATGGACACAACCTCGACCCCACCTCTCTCAAGGACTGGCAACGTTTGCATGATCCTTCATTGGGAAATTTTTCTCACAAGTTAAGTTGAAATTGGGACGGCATAAGTAAAAATTAAAATTTCATTTGCCATTTATTGTTAAGTAATGTTTAGCCCGTGTTTGGTGAGAATGAAATTAATTTTTTCGTAAATTTTAATAAAAGTTGAGATGAAATCTGTGATTAAAAAATTATGGGACATATAAAATATGTGATTAAAAATTAATTGTTAATTTTAATTTAAAACCAAATAAGAGCTTAATATCGTGAACCAAATATACTTTTATGAATGTCAAAGGTGCATTTGAGAAAATTTGTACGAAATTAGGGTTTCTTGGAATTTGATTTTGGTCACAAATAATTTTGTGTCCAAAACGTCAAAAGATATATGAAAAGTGGTGCTAATGTTTGCTTTTGTTTTTGTGAAAAATATGATCATTATCAATCAGATCAAGCCATCTAATTTGAATTTTTATCTCTTGTGTGGCTCATAATGACTATATTTTTCATTCTCATTTTTACATTAATGTGTACCAAACGGGCTCTGTGTAATATAGAGGTAATTAAAGTGCGTGCAAGATGTTAGAATTTAGGTACAATTTTGACTATTCATTGGATTATCGAGATCTTATGTAATCGATAATTTAAAAAGTCAAGATTATGCTCCTAAATATTTGTTCGAAAGTTAAAAATAATTAATGTTATTAACGTCAAATATATCATACTTTAAGGTTTTCATTATCCACGCACACTCATTTTGAAATTATTGTTATAAAATCGTGATTGCATCAAATTATATTGTATTTAATGATAATATTTACTTATTAGTCCGTATTTTTTCTTATAAATAATTCATCTATTGTTTTCTATTTAAAATTATATTTGGATTTACAACTTGTACTAATATTTGCTTTTGTTTTTGTTTTGTTTTCTTTGATTGCAAGAACAGAACCATCAAAATTAAATTAGAGGACTGTGTAATATAGAAATAATTAAAGTGCAAGCTAGGTGTTAGAATTCGGGTACGATTTTGACTGTTCATTGGATTATAGGGATCTTATGTAATCGATAATTTAAAAAGTCAAGATTATGCTCATAAATATTTGTTCAAAAGTCAAAATAATTAATGTAATTACGTCGAATATATCATATTTCACTTGTTAATCCGTATTTTTTCTTATAAATAAATGAGCTACTGTGTTCTATTTAAAATTATAATTGGATTTACAACTTTGTTGTGTAATATGAATTTTTGGGAAAATATTACCTACTAAATTTTAAGATATGTTCCGCTGCTAATAAGTATTTCATCAACAGACAACAGTCAAAGATAATTAATTATATCACAAAATATATCTTCCTCTGCTTTTTAGCATTCTTCCCCTCATTTTGAAAATGTTATTGATAAAACTAAGATCTTATGATATTATGTTGCATTTAATGGTACATAAAGTTAACTCATTGCATTTCATTTTTTCTCATAGAAAATATTATAAATCCTTTTCAACTCTAGCTTAATATGAACTGTTGAGCAAATATCCAATAATTATGTATGATAGGTTAAACCGGATTATATCGGAAAAAAAAAAACTATTTCCCATTATTAAGTTGTGGTTTGTGCATATCTAACTTTTTTAAAAAAGAGGAATGAGTAGCCACTGTTCAAGGAACAGTAAAGTAATATTATTCCACTGTTGAAACTGTTTTTTCTTTCTTTTTCTTCTTTAGCTCACGTTGATTTTTACCTGCTCTTTATTTTCGACGACTATACTTCTGAGGCAACCATAATCCTTATTTTCTAGTACGAAGTAAGGCAATAAGTACAACTTTATTTCTTTTTGTTCTCCTTCTTACAGCCATCCCCTCCTCCATATTCTCGTCTTCTAATCTTCAAGCAAATTATGGTTTTTTTTTTTTTTTGAAATTTTTTGTTTTTAAAGGGATGATGTTCCATCCGTTGATCTGGCCAATGGCGGTTGTGCAAAGCAGTCGGAGGTGAAGAAATTGCGGAGGCGATGGTGGAAGGTGAGCCTTTGAGTTCGATATTTTCCCTCCGCACGGGCTTCGTTTCAATTTAGTTGCTGGTTTTTTTTTTCCTTTTTTGCAGCAAATTTTTTAATTATATTGTCATTTTCTACTTTTTTTTTATTTGCTTCTGTAACTAATTGAAATCACTTGCTGGAACGCATGGAGAAACTTCTTTCTCAATCCTCGATAGATTGACAATTTTCACTTAGTTTCATTATTTACATCATTGTTATAGTTCGTGTAGTGGAAGATTGTCATTCTTTTTGGGGTTATGCATTGGAAGAATTTTTTTTTTTTTATTCATGTTCTTAACTGTCTTTGTTAAGATGATGGTGTGAGAATTGCTTGTTAAACTTTTTTCTTATTTTTTTTTATGTAGGAATGTATACATATACATTATATATCAAATATGGTAAAATAAAAAATCAAATAGTTTAAATTGAAGAAAACCAAAGAGAATAAAAAAGAAAGAGAAATGTATAAACAATCAATGGAGGGGGGAAAAATCACAGCTCTGCACTGTGCGGAATTTTTGTTATTGTTTTTTTTTTTTTTGCCCTTTTTACGATAGCAATTTCTTTTCTTTTTTTTGCCCTTTCTTTTTTCTTTTTTTCCCCACTTCCCCTATTTTTGTTTTCTTTTTACAGAGGTTTAAAACTAAACTATTGAAACAAGGGTTTTTGGTAAGTAAATATAGAATTTTGTTATGAATTGAATGTATGTTGGTTTGATTTTCCTGTGTGGTTTTAGGTCGATTTTTTTTTTAAAGGGCATTATCATTTCGTTTTAATCGCGAAAGATTAAAGATTTTATTTTGTTTTACGAGACAAGACAAGAATTGTGGCAAAAGATGAAGTAGCTCTAATGGATCATTTGGGTTGGAAAAAACCTCACATCTTCAGCCATTCAATTTGGTGAGTTCTAATTTTGAATTTTTAATGATGTTTGGTTTTCTTATTTTCATTTCTGTTGTTGAAAGGTAAATAATGTACATTTCTTGTTTGTGATTGCACTGCTGTTTTAGCTCATTAATGTTATCTTTTCAAGGTGGTTAGTCAAATAAATACATAGTTAAATAACTTGACATTGGTGAAAAAATATGGTAATCTAAAAAAATAAAAAATCAAATAGAGAAAAGAAAAACAAAGAATAAACAAAAAAAAAAAAAAAAAAAAAAACAAAAATTTTTTTTTTGTCTTTTTATATTTTG